CTATCTATCTATCTATCTATCTATCTATCTATCTATCTATTCTATCTCTCTTTCTCTCTATCTATTCTACCTCTATCTATTCCAGGGGTCTTCAAACTTGACAGCTTTAAGACTTGTGGACTTCAACTCCCAGAATTCCTCCTCCTCCAGTCATGTCAGCTCAGGAATTCTGGGAGTTGAAGTCCACAAGTCCTAAACTTGCCCAATTGGAAGACCCTTGCTTTTAAGGCATTTAGAAACCTGAATATAACAATCTGGCGAAATCCTTTTGCGGGTGTTCCTTTTAAAAAGTGAAACCAGAGCTTGATTTTATTTTGTTTCCATGACCTAACCATGTTTTTTAAAAAAATCACCTGCCTCGGAAACTGAAACTACTACTTCCTCCTGCGTGGAAAATGCGTCGGTTACCAACTCTCCAGCTGAGGATCCCGGTGAATATCAGAGAAAAGCGGTAACTGAATACTGACCTTTTGAGCGCCTCTTATTCATGAAGCTTTTTTTCCCATTTCCCGGAACAGATTAAACTGACCTCAAGTGGGGAAACCTGCTTGATCAGAATCCTGGTTTTGTCACATGACCTAAAGTCCTAGCTAGGTTCCAGGACAGGTAAACCTGAGAGGTGTTAAATTTATCTCCTTTCTGTTAAAAGAAGTGCAAGAATTCCAAGTAGGCGAGTAAGTAACTTTCTTTGGGAAGTCCAAGAATTTGGTGAGTTTTCCTCTGTTTCTTAGGTTCCATTAATATTTAGGTATTACCTCTGAATAAAATTCAGGTTAATACAGGTGTAGATGTAGTAAGGAAATTGATGGCGGGGAAGCCATTTTTTGTTCTGAATAGTTCAATTTTCACACCAGTGTATTCACCTAGGCTAGAGGTCTCCAAAATTGTGAAGTCCACGTGTCTTAAACTTGCCAAGTTTGAAGATCCTGCCATGGCAGCTTGGCATGTTTAAGACTTGTGGACTTCAACTCCCAGCATTCCTGAGCTGACATGACTGGAGGAGGAATTCTGGGGGTTGAAGTCCACAAGTCTTAAAAGCTGTCAAGTTTGAAGACCCCTGACCTAGGCAAACCATGACAACACAGTCAGTCTGGGGAATTCTGGGAATTAAAGTCCACGCATCTTGGACTTGCCAAGGTGTTGAAAGACGGTGCTGCACCTTTCTAAAACAGGCCGTGCCCTTTAGGTTAATTGATACGATTTGAGATGTTCCAGATCGTTTATGTAGACTGAGAGCACGTCTAAGATTCCAGATTGGGAATGCAACTTTGAAAGAAATTGGAGCAAACAAAGATTTTCCTGCCGTGCTCCCCCCAAAAAGCGATGAAAAAGTAGCTTTATTTCTGGGATAATCTAACCATAAGAAGGGAAAAGGAAAGAACATGTGAATTATCATTAACCTGGAAATTGGATTACTGAGGAAATCGTTCCTTTCCAGACCGTCCAACCAGATGAATTCATCAACTGCACATGTGATTCGATGTTTGCAGCAGATACACAAGGTTGGCGTTTTGTGTTCCTCTTCGAATGCCACTTTTTTGTCTGTCATGTTTCTTCCCCTTCCAAGCCTCCATCTGTCATTCGAGATGGGCTGCATGGCTTATTTTTCTCTTAACAAAATGTCCATGCCCCACACTCTCCTTTTTCCTACACTCGACTTGGGAATTCTGGAATTCTGTGTCCTTTTCCCTTCCATCAATTAAATTCCTACCGCTTCTTATAATAGGTGGTTGGAAATTATGTTGTCCTAGAGAAAGTTCTCTTCTTGCACTTTCTGCAAACAGCCTTTGGTTTGCAATTCTTTGTTTCTTTCTTGGCAATTCCGGAGTAAGAAGCTTTCAAAAGTTTGCTTGCATCACATTTTTTTTCTTTCTTTCTTTCTCCATTTAACTGTATCGGCCAACGTGGATCTTAATGAATCTTCTCCCCTCTGCTGTTCTGCCCAAGTAATTGCAACTGCTTGGTATTTCAGTCTGGGCCAATGTTAAGATAACAGAATGGCAGAGTTGGAAGGGTTCTTGGAGATCTTCTAGTCCAGCCCTCTACCCAGGCGGGAAGCCCTATGTCATTGGTTGTCCAATCTCTTCTTTAAAACTGCCAGTTTTGTGATGTCCACAATTTCTGGAGGCAAGTTGTTCCACTGATGAATTGTTCTGTTGGGAAATTTCTCCTCAGTTCTAGGTGGCTTCTCTCCTGGGTTAGTTTCTACCCGTTGCTTCTTGTTTTCACTGAGATTTTTCCGCGGTGTTCTGACCCAGGCTTCCTGAGACCATAATTAAGCACACGCTTAGTCCAAACAACTCTCTTTTTATTTCAATGCTGGGAATTATGTGCATTCCCAGCCCGTAATGAGTCCCAAACAGTCCCTCGAGATAAGCACCCACCTTTCTCTCCTTTGAATGGCTGCCAACAACTAAAGTGCCACAGGGAACTGTAAAAAGCCAAGTGAAGTACAAAGTCCACGCAGAGCTTCAAGGTTTAATCTGACTTTGCTTCCTGCAAAGGTTTCTCTACCTTTGCCTGTCCTTTATCCCTTAGGGGAGCGGCAATCACCTCCAAGCTTTACGCCTGAGTTGCCCCTTTTGTCTCAGCTGCTCTCACCTTCTGGCAGCTCTGCATATACGCGCACTGGGAACAGGCTCCCCTTGTTCCTCTTCCTCGCTGCTCCAGACTCCGGAGACTCGGGAGTCAGCACCCCACTCCCAGATGGTCCTGGCCCCATCTCTGCATGGGACGCAGGACCCTCGTCTGAGTCCTCTCCAGACTCCCGGACTGGTCCCCGTTCTTCCCCACTGTCCGATTCCACTGCCGTCTGCACCGGCTGCCGGCGAACCACAACACACAGACTGCTCTGCAAATATTTTGAAACGGAACTCCTGCCATGTGGTGGCAAGCCATCAAATAGCCATGCGGTCGGTCCTCACTTGGCAGGTGTCCCACTGAGCCACTATTCATAGTTAGGACGGGGATAACAACCTAACTGTGCAACCAATCCTCACATATACAACTTTCGCAGGTCTGTAAAACAAAAGGTGAGCTGAGATAAGATCATAAGGAGAGCTGTGGTTTCATTTAATGACCAAGCGGCTGGTCCCAATTGTGGCTACTAAAGGAGGACTACCCGTGGCCCAGTTTTCGACTGACTTTCGGGGGGGAAAAATTAAAATGGTTTGCTACGCATCCCCTTCATTTTTCAAACAACAACAAAGACTTGGAACGGCTGTGAGAGGAATCGCCATCACGGCCTCGGTTTTCGACCACGATTCATCCCCCAAATTGATGTTGTTAAGTGAGGCATTGGTTAAGTCCCGTTTTATGGGCTTCCTTCCCACAGCTGATAAGTGACATCCCTGCAGTTGTTGAGTTACTACTGGATTAAAAATCCAACGGAATGTGTGAAAATGATTGTCTCTTGGAATGTGCTCACCTGTCTCCTTGTGTCCCCTGGACAGGTAATCGGGAAGGCCAATGAAATTCTTGCAGGCATCAGCCAGCCATCTGTCTGTAGAGAGGTGTTGCTTTCTACTCCTGGAACAGCCTACATTTGGGGTACAGCAGATGTGCCTTTTCTCTCTCTTTCCTGTTTTGAATTTCCTGAAGATCTCACCTACTCGTTCCAAGTTTTGAAGATGTGCCAATAATCCGCAAATGTGAACATACTAACTAAATTGGAGACTAGCTCGATGCCTGTGTTTTGCTACGAAACTATGTGGTCGGGCTTAGTTTTTGGAGAGGAAAATAAGGCGGGGAAAGTCTGCCTTTGCCTAGCAGTATCCATTGGAATTCATCTGACTAGTGTACGGTCAGTGTGTGAGAGAGTTGAGGGCTGTTTGGAAACTGAAGCAGCATTTGCTGTGTGAGCAAGAAGGAGACAGCAAGGAGCCTGGGTGTGGCTTAGCTCAACTGTTCTGTACTAAAGCCCCTAACCCTTACACCAAACTGCTCCTCTCCCTTGGAGGGGCTTCTAAAGAATTCCCTTCTATGTTTGTTCTCGTCCGCAGGATTGTCCGAGATCTATCAGATCTCCAAGCACTTGGGAGACGCCGTGAGCGCTCGGAAATTGACAAGCGAGCTGCTCTTGCAAACATTGCGCGAGGTGGATTTGGCTTGGAATAACCTCTTGTCTTTTCTCGTGGTTGGTCGTTCTGTGTTCCAGACGTTGGTAAGGGATTCCACTCTCTGCTCAAAAGCTCTTTGGACTTAAAAGAGGGGGAAATGGGGATGTGGGAAGAGGGGATAAGAACGGGTCCCAGGGTGTAGGGTTTCTGGCCTAAGCTGGGGGTTGGACTAGAAGATCTCCAAGGCCCCTTCCAATTCTCTTATTCTGAGAAATTCTAAGGAAAGAAAATGTCTGCAGTTATTTATTGATCCGAATATTTATATATCGCTCTATTTTACTGGAGACTTCAGGGGATTTGCAGCTCACTGAAAGACTGGGCTGCTAAAAATCCACAGGGACCCCCACCCACTGACTTCTGGAAGATAGATTTATTTTATTAAATTTATTTATTAAATTTGTTTATTAAATCTGTTTGGCAGCCATCTCGCTGCAGGGCTGGGTTGAAGCATGGAAGCGTCTTTTTAAAAACAATATTGGGACTGGAAGCTGGTAATTTTCCAAGCCACTAAAATCAGGTGGAAGAAACAGCTTTAGGTCAGTTCCAAAGATGGCTGCATCTAGCTCATTATTTTATTGTTTTGATAGGCAGGGACAGGTGCATTAACTCCCAGAGTTCCCCAAACAGCTGACGAGGGGAATTCTGGGAACTGAAATCTGCGCGTCTTAAAGAAGGTTGTGTGGGGGGAAAAAATTCTCCAAAGTTTGAGCCTCGCGTTTCCCTTGGTCTTAAAAAATAAACCTGGGACTTTCCTGCAGCCACGCAGAGCTGGAGTGTCAATCAAAGAGAGAAAACCAAGAAGCACCTCTTAATTTTGTCCTTTTTACCCCAACTGCTGGAATTTACAGCTTCTGCCACCGCTGCCTGTGAGCGAACCTTGCGTGACGCTTGCAAAAAGTGAACTTAATCGTGTCTGCGGAGTTTGCCTCGCAGAGGTAAACCGAGAACCTGAGGTAATTTCTATCGGTTTTTTTTTTTTATTAAAAAAATGAAGACCTCCTGCCTAGGGAATTCTGGGAGTTGGAACAGTGGTGGGATTCAAAAAAAGTTTACTACTGGTTCCGTGGGCGTGGCTTGGTGGGCGTGGCAGGGGAAGGATACTGCAAAATCCCCATTCCCTCCCCACTCCACTAACCTGCTTTCCAGCTCCGTTCTCCTGGGCAGGGCAACCCAAGAAGACCCAGCCAATCAGCTGTGGATGTGGCTTGGTGGGCGTGGTGTGTGGTTTGGTGGGTGTGGTTTGGTTTGGTGGGCGTGGCAGGGGAAGGATACTGCAAAATCTTCATTCCCACCCCAGTAACCTGCTTTCCAGCTCCGCTCTCCTAGGCAGGGCAACCAAAGGAGACCCAGCTGATCAGCTGGGACTCCATGGGAGGCGGAGAAGAGATGGGGTTGGCGGGGCCAGTCAGAGGCGGGATTGGCCGGTTCTCCCAACTACTCAAAATTTCCACTACCGGTTCTCCAGAACTGGTCAGAACTGGCTGAATGCCACCTCTGGAGAGACGGCACAAATGTCAATGGACAACTCGGATTCGGAGGCTGGCACCTTGTTGCTTGACTTGGTCGGACTCAAGCAGGTGTGGAGCCGAAAAAGGGAAGAGTTCCCTTTTTAATACAGGTGTCTGCAAACATTTTGCTCTTCTCCTGATCTGCTTTCTTTTGTTTCTATTTGCTCTCTCAGGTGCCTTCTGGAAGTCTGGATCCCGTTCTACACCAGGGATTCTTTTATCATGTCGGATGTGCCAACTTTTGGCTGAATTGTGTAGACTCCACGCTGCCAAGAGAGAGCTGATCTCTTCTGACCTGCTCCCCGAACACGACAAACCCTCTGATGTGAATTCAAAAGATTCCTTTATCAGGACCGCCGGCAGTCTCGGCAAAACGTTTCTCTCGCAGGCGAACAGATCTGGCTGGCTGGAAGATGAATATCCTGTCTGTCACATCTATTCATCTCCGCCCCCTGCCTTTTATCCCCAGAGCTAAGGTGGGGCTTCGCTAGCAGCGGTGGCTCTTCTGTCCCAAGGTCCGGCCCATAGATGTCCACTGCTCTCCTCTCCTCTGCCTTCTGTGCACCTGCGGTCAGGCACTGCATAAGGGTGTTCCTCCTCTTCCTCATCAGCCACCTCCAGACCTGGCCCTTCCTGCCCCAAGGACCGGCCCATAGATTTCCACTGCTCTCCTCTCCTCTGCCTTCTGTGCATCCACGCATCAGGCACTGGGCCCAGGACCAGCCCATAGATTTCCACCGCTCTCCTCTCCTCTGCTTTCTGTGCATCCACGCATCAGGCACTAAACCAGTGGTGGGATTCAATTTTTTTTTACTACTGGCTCTGTGGGTGTGGCTTGGTGGGCGTGGAAGGGGAAGGATAGTGTGAAATCTCCAGTCAGAGCTGGGATTTGCCGGTTCTACTCAAAATTTCCGCGACCAGTTCTCCAGAACTGGTCAGGACCTGCTGAATACCACCTCTGCGCTGGGCCCAGCTGTTCCTCCTCTTCCTCATCAGCCACCTCCAGACCTGGGGGGCTGTTGACTCTCCATCTGAGGGCTGATGGATGGCCCAGGCTCCACCTCTCTCTCTCTCTCTCTCTCTCTGACAGCTCCATCCCCTCTTCCTCCTCAGAGACTCTCCCTGATTCTCATGTCACCTCCTCCTCTGATTCAGTTGCTGGAATGGCTGGCGGACAACAGTCCACAACAATGACCCTTTTCTCCAAGTTTCTGTCCATGCTGTTGTCTTGTGGATTGGTGGTAGGAGTTGAGAAAAAGACTTCTTGAAGCGTGGGAATATTGGTGGAATCTAAAACCCTTTGCCTTCCGATGCCCCGTTTCAAACTTTAAAAGATCTTTTTGCCCAACGTGACTGGAAAGGGGAATTCTGTGCTCAGGACCTGAATTTTCATCACCTGATCGTAGGGTCGTAAGAGTGAAAAACGGTCATAAGTCACTTTTTTCAGTACCGTTGTAACTGTGGGCTTCTGTAAGTGTGGGATTTCCTGCATGTGCAGTCGGGCAACTTCATTTTGCCCAGGTGGTGGGAGACACACCTGTAAGGGTGCTCCCAATCTCACCTGGCAGTTCCTGCATCTCACCTGTCAGGTTATGAAAAAGTGTTGGTTTTCCTGGGACTTTTGGATGGGCGGCTGAGCAGAGGAGAGAAAACACAGTGAAACGAACTTTCTGCTGAATGTATTTCCTTTATTACAACTGTCTCTAAGCCTTAAACAGACTCGTAACAATTCTATGTAGCTCTCGTTTGGCTCTAAAGCTACACAAATATCAAACAGGGTGAAAATTTGGGGGGGGCTTTCTTTCCAATGGGACACTTATCCTCTCTTCTGGGATCCCCCAGAAACTTTCTTGGTGAATACCATCTCCTCCAGGCCCATGGTCAAAAATATCATGGAAAATACCGTTTCCCTGAAAATACGACCTATCCTGAAAGTAAGTCCTAGGCTTGAGGTTTACACATGCACCGAATATAAACCCTACCCCAAAGTAAGCCCTAATTAAGATCCCACCCACTCCAGACTGCACGGGGAAAAATTAAGCTAGGGTAGGCATGGGAGGGTGGAGCTGCCCTACTACTTACCTTTGGACAGTTGTAGCCAGGCCTCGCACACCCTGACACCTGCCTCACAGGCCTATTTCTGTAGGCCGATAACAAAGCTCTGGATCGATCCAGAACTCTGTTATCGGCTGCAGAGGCCTTCAGGAAAGCCTTGCTGGCCGCAGAAGAAGAACTTCTTGAAGGCCTCCGACAGCAAAAAGGCGGCCAGGGGTGAAAAGGAGGACTTCCCCCGAAAATAAGACCTAGTGCCTTTTTTGGTGGCCAAAATATATATATAAGACAGGGTCTTATTTTCAGGGAAGCACAGTAGGAAGAAGGAGGAGAGAACTGTTTGTCAAAGCGAGCCATGAAACACAAGCAGCCTAATGCGTTGAAGTCGAAATATTTAATAAGGTAAAAATGCTACATGCCCAAGTAAAACAATTATCGGAGAAGATTTCGTCCTAAAAGCGGCCAGAAGGCTGAACGAGAGAGCCAGATACTACAACTCCTTCTAAGCAGGGAAGAAAGTCAGACGTTAAGGATCCTACTCATCGCTTTCCTGGAAACGTGGCTGGAAAAAAAAAAACGCACCAAAACTTCATCAAAAGCGGGTTTCTTAGGATCGCGCTCAAAAGCTCTGTGGCTACCGCTGGTTGCTTTGTCTGAACCCCATAACCAACAGAGAAGCCACATTTCTCCAAACAGCCAAGCCTTTTTGCTGCAGGATTTATTCCAGAGCCCAAAGTTAAAGGAGTCAATCATTTAATGGTGTCGTTTTATATATACATATGGCTATAGATAGATTCCCCCTCCCCTTCCAATTATCCGTTGTTTTTTATTTATGGAACAGGGAGAGAGAGAGAAAAAAACAACCACGCAGGAGATCCCCCCTGGTTAAAAAAAAAAATTCCCCTTTTTCTGGCCAAGATGGGTTGCATGACAGTTTCAAACTTTGCCCAAGTTCACGCGTGGGAGTTTAAAGAGGGGGCCACCTTTGGCTGGGGTCGCACGCACCCGCGCCGCGTCTCTCACAGCGTAATCATGCCTCTAACCTCGTTTTCGTAGAGGTCAGGGATCAGGCCCAAAGGCGACTGAATCATCTTCACGCTGTTCTTCCCAAAGAGGTGATACTCGTATTCGACCAGCTGCTCCCAGAACCCGAGGTTCGGGCGGATGACGGGACGGCAAGATTTCACCCAGCTGTGGGCGTTCGAGAGAGACATGGAGTGGTACTTCATCAGGTAGGCAATGCACAGGGCGGCCGAGCGGCTGACGCCGGCGGCGCAGTGCACCAAGGTCCGGCCCTGGTTCTGGTCCACGGCGTGGATCTTGTCCGCCACAGGGTCGAAGAAGTCGTAAATGCGTGCGGTGGGGTAGTCCAGGACGGGGACGTGGATGTAGTAAATGTCCGGGAAGTAGGTGTTGATCACTTCCACCGTGGCGTTGATTATGGTGGTGATGCGGTTGGCATAAAGGAAGAGCTTGTTGTTGGCCGCCTCGCCATTGCTGATGAAGAGGCTGTTGGTGATGCGGGACAAGCCGTAGACCGACGGGTTCCTCAAGAGGATGGGGATGGCGCCAAAAACTGCGTTCATCAAGGCGAGTGTTTAGATGTCCGTTTCAGGGGAAGGCGGCGTCATGTTTACTTCCAATTTTTTTTTTTTTATATTGGTTTTGGCCGAAAGGGAGCTGAGGAAGGAAGGGGGAAAAAAAGAGAGAGGAGAGAGGAGAAAAAGGGAAGAGGGAAATTCTCAAACTGTGGATCGAAAGGAGGAGGAGGACTCGGGGGTCCTGGGCATTTCTCTGAGCTGGCTTGTTTTCTAGCAGGCAGTTCACGACCCAACTAGGCAATATCATCAGTGCTCAGTGCTCAGAAAACTCACCCTCAAAGGCAGGGTTCAGACAACTGGGGTGGCCTCTGGTTCAAGGTTGGAGAACTGTGACCTGTGTTTTCTTAGCAGGCTGCCCCATCACGCTAAGCCACACACCCAAACACACGTACATGTTTTCAATCGGTGCTGCAAACTGTGCAATTTCCAATTTAAAACTTGAGAATCTCCCATTTAAAACTTGAGAATCTCCCATTTAAAACTCACAGGGCTGTTGATGGAGCATCTGAGCATCAGGGGGGATTTAATCCATCCAGGAATTGTAACCCGGGAAGGGACGGTGGAGATCGATTTATCTAATTTTCTGCTTTGCGCAGGATTTATAGGGCGCGACTGATTCGTTTATTGCCTGGAATTGTTTGCCGCAGCGGGAAGGAAAATTGGCAAGCTTACATAATTCATTGTAGCTCTAAGTGACTTCTTTATCCTGATTACTCAAAGGATATGTGCAATTGTGGGAACACAACTCCCGTTATTGGGGTGGGGGGAGAGGCCCTCGGACTGGTACCTGCGTGGCACATTTAATTCTGGGATTTAAAACCAGTCGCCTCTTACTGGAGTCCCCAATCAAATGTAGCTGGGATGTTTCCTCTCCTGGAACATCCTAGATTTTGTCTTCCAATAAAGTCAAAATAAGAAAGGGAGGAAAAAAAAACACTTTTAACATCACTTTGTTAACCAATCCAAGGTTATTTTTCTCTGTTTTTCCTAAATGGTTAGTTTTCACCTGCCTTGGAAGGATTAAAAATGTATAAAAGAGTTTGACAAACGTCCAAGGATGGAACAGGAGAGATTTAAGGTGTTCCTCATGGGATATATAAGTGGGTATGTACATGTGTTTTGTGTGTGTATATAAAGTGTGTATTTGTGTGTGTGTGTGTGTACAGTATATGTGTGGTTTAAGGCTCCTGCCTTGAGCAAAGGATCGGACTAGAAAACCTGGAAAATCCTTTCCAGGTTTGGGATTCTGTGATATGCTGCTGACCCACAAACCTGTCTGTCTGTCTCTGTCTGTCTGTCTGTCTGTCTGAGAGCCACACATTCTTCCAGCTTTTCTGAACTTCCTGTCCGTAAAAGTTATACACCAGAGCGCTGTCATTATCCAAAGCTTTGGGAGTGTCCATGGACATGGGCTCCCAGCTATTTGTTTTCAACTTATTTTTATTTATTTCCTTTAGACGAACGCCGGTCCCTGCACTCCAAATGCGTACCCCCGTTTTTTTTAGAGCGATGGATTCAGAAGCTGCGTGACAGGATGGTGGCAGCCATCATCCCGGCCTTCTCCTCACCCCCCACCCCAGGGGGGAGGGGAAAGGGTGGGCTTGGCCCCTTTTGAAAAGCCTACCTTTGCGAAAGTACCTTTCCAGAGAAACTTCACATGTCTTTTGTCTCCGGGTTGCGTGAAAACTTGCGAAAGTATCTAGGGAAGAAGGAAGCGGCGGGGTCGGTGAGGGCTGGTGTGCAAAGAGGCGGCTTTGGATCACTTACACAACATACACAACAGGCCTTTTCTGGGTTATGGGCTAAGAGAATCTAAGCCAGAGGTCCCCCAAACTTGGCAACTTAAAGACACATGGACTTCCAACTCCCAGAATTCCTCCTCCTTCAGTCATGTTTAGCTCAGGAGTTCTGGGAATTGAAGTCCACAAGTCTTAAAGTTGCCAAGTTTGAAGACCCTTGATCTATTCTATCTATCTATCTATCTATCTATCTATCTTTCTCTCTCTCTCTCTCCCTCTATCCATCTATTCTCTCTCTCTCTCTCTCTATCTATTCTACCTCTATCTATCTATCTATTCAAAGGATCTTCAAACTTGGCAACTTTAAGACTTGTGGACTTCAACTCTCAGAATTTCTCCTCCGGTCATGTCAGCTCAGGAATTCTGGGAGTTGAAGCCCACAAGTCTTAAAGTTGCCCAGTTTGGAGGCCTCTGGTCTAAGCACATCATGGTTGGCGATTAGAACATTGGTGGTCCAAAGGCCGTATTTTTCAGCTTTGGTTTTTCATCCTGAAAAGCTTTTTAAGAGGTGTGGACTTCCACTCCCAGAATCCCCCAGCGGAGGTGCTAGTTGGGGAATTCTGGGAGTTGGAAATCCAGACATCTTCAATGCCTTCAATGCTTCCGGTCCACATGGAGCCAGCCTTTCAGTCCTGAATGACAGTGGGAAAGAGTAGCTTTTTTGGGGTGGGGGGTGTGTACTCCTGATCCCATCACCCTTGGCCTGGGTTGGGGGGGGCTGGGGATACTGGGAACCACATCCCAACGCCCCTCTGAGGACAGGCCTCTAGGTGGAGCTTTCGCCTCACAATCAGGAGGCTGTGAGTTCGATTCCTAGGTAGAGGCTGGTATTTGGAACAGAGCAGGGGGGGTTGGATTAGATGACCTCCAAGGGTCCTTTCCAACTCTGTTATTCTATGTGAGGTGTCCCTTTCCAGGGGGAGGTGGGCAGGTGGCTCTGCCCACCGGGATGGAAAGCCGGCTTGGTCCAGCAAGGGAAGGATGCTGCTGCCCGGGAGCGTCTGGCCAGTCCAGGTAGCCTGCTCTTGCCTCTGGAGGCTCCATCCCCGTGCCCTCCCGCCCCTCGCCTTACCCCACACCCGCGCCGCGGGGACGCGGTGTGTGTGTGCGTGTGATTGTGTGTGTGTGTCTCTCTCTCTCGGCCGTCGGGTCGCCGCAGCCTCCGGAGCAGAAGGCGCCGCGCGAAGAAGACGCCGCTCAGCCCCCGCCGAGCCCGGCCGTCGGTTTCCGCGGCAACCGGGGAGAGCCAACCCATTGTGACCGCTTGCCGCCCGCCTCGGCCCGGCTGACTCAACCGCCGGGAGCTCGGGCGATGGAGAAGCCGCCGGAGGCACCCCAGCCCGTCGTGACTTTCTTCCAGCCCCGCGACCACCAAGTGCTGGTGCTGTACAGGTGAGGAAGGGGGGCGGCGGGAGAGGGAGGGGGAAGAGATGGGGAGGGGGAGGCACCGCTTCTCCTCCTCCTCCTGCCAGAGACCCTCCTCGGCCCCCTCTCCTCTCCGGTCGACCGGCGGTTGCGCGCGCCCCCCCCAAAAAAAGTGTCAGAGAGAGAGAGAGAGAGAGAGACAGAAAGGAGGGCAGAGGAGAAGAGAGGAGAGGGGGAAAGGAAGAAGGAAAGAGAGAAGGGGAAGGGAGGGGAGAGGAAAGGAAGAAGGAAAGAGGGGAGGAAGAAGGAAAGGGGGTAAAAGGGGAGCAGAGAGGAAAGGAAGAAGGAAAGAGGAAAAGTGGGGAGGAGAGAGGAGGAGAGCAGAGGGGAAGGGGAGGGAGAGGGAGAGGAGAGGAGGAAAGAAAAGGAGGGGAGGAGAGGAAGAAGGAAAGAGAGGGAGGGGAGAGGGGAGAGCAGGAGAGGAGAGGGAAGTGGGAAGGGGAGAGGAGGAGAGGAGAGGGAAGGAAGGAAAGAGAGGGGAGGGGAAGGAAGGGGAGAAGAGAGCAGGAGAGGAGAGGAGGAGAGGAAAGGAAGAAGGGAAGGAGAAGGGTACATCCTTTTCCTGAAGCCAGCAAACTCTGGGCAGTTGATTGCGCCAAAGTTCACAGGTCGTTGTTCAGCCCCTCGGGTGATGGTGCTGCCCTTCTAACCAGCTGACTTTCTCCCCCTCCAGCCAGCAAACTTGTAGCGAAGCTGCTTTGAAGAGGTTCCTTCCCAAAAGCCACCTGGCTAAGGTGATTATCCAGGACAATGTTAGCGTTCAGCGGGTCCAGGACATTAAGGTACGTTTTTTTTGAAACCTTGCGTGAATTCCCACCAGCGGTCAGGAATCCGAGCATGTCAGGAATCCAGTTACAACGGCACTGAAAAGAAACCGTGACTTTTGGGCTGTTGTTTCTTTTTCTTTTCTCGCCCTTACGACAGACCGTTACTTCCTTGCCTAAAACATTGATTGCTGATTGATCTTTTCCAGAAACAGCAAATTGAACGTAGGAAAAAGAAAGCCGAGAATCTGTTCGATCAAATGAAAAGGAGATTTCTCCAGAACCAGCAAAAAAAGACGTTCCGGTGGAAGAAAGAATACGACTATTATCAGAAGATGTTGGAAGAGATCGACCAACGGAACCAGATGAGAGAATTAGGCTCAACTTTTACCATGGGAAATCGTCTCTCCAGTTCTGCAAAAACCTCGGACAAGCCGAGCCTCCGATAACCGGAATCACGCTGGGGAAATGGCGTTTACCGCGCCATTTCATCAGAATAAAACTGTGTTGAAAACCCTCCCCCGATCCCGTTGGTTTTCTTAATAAAAAGTCTTCAACCCAGCCCAGCCCAGCCCAGCCCAGCTAAATAGCTCTGTCATCCCAGAATAACACCTAGTAGATGGCAGTGTTTACAAGTTTGGATCCATGATATATACTCTATGCTTTTTCATTCTAAGTAGACTTTCCTGTTTCCTGCTACAGTGAAATAGTTGAGGAGTAAAGCACATGGTGATTGTTCCCTTTGTTTCAGAGGTGGTATTCAACAGATTCTGATCAGTTCTGGAGAACCGGTAGCGGAAATTTTGAGTAGTTTGGAGAATCAGCAAATACCAACTCTGACTGGAGATTTTACAGTATCCCTCCCCTGCCACGCCCAACAACCCATGCCCACAGAACTGGTAGTAAAAAAAAATTGAATCCCACCACTTCTTCGTTTGCTCTGCAGTGCTATATATAAACAGAATTTCTAACAGAGTCGCCCAATGATTTGATTTTTTGCTTGTGGCGGTTAAGTGAATCTAGCTGCAACCGAGAAGGTGCAGTTCCTGGGACTGTAAGGGGGCAGTTTAATCATCAGGACCCAGATGGGGGGACATGAGATGGGCAGAAAAGGTGGAGATGAACCGTATCTCAGACTGCCATCCTTCCAAGGTCATTAAAATGAGGCCTCAGATGGTTGGAGGCAAGATGCCGACCTCTGTAAACCGCTTAGACCAGGGGGGTCCTCAAACTTGACAGCTTTAAGACTTGTGGACTTCAACTCCCAGAATTCCTCCTCCAGCCATGTTAGCTCAGGAATTCTGGGAGTTGCCAAGAACTCCCTTGCCAAGTTTGAAGACCCTTGTGATAGATGATAGACAGATGAGAGATAGACTTAGATAATTAGATAGATAGATAGATGATAGATTGATTGATGACAGATAGATAGATTGATGATAGAATGATAGATGATTGATTGATGATAGATGGTAGATAGATTGATGATAGATATTAGATAGATAGAGGATAGAGGATAGAGGATAGATTGATTGGTGATAGATACATAGATACATAGATAGGTAAATAGGCAGGTAGGTACAGAGAGAGAGAGAGATGATAGATTGATAGGTGATAGATCAGGGGTCTTCAAACTGGACAGCTTTAAAGACTTGTGGACTTCAACTCCCAGAATTCCCTCTCCAGTCAAGCTAGCTCAGGAATTCTGGGAGTTGAAGTCCACAAGTCTTTAAAGCTGTCAAAGTTTGAAGACACCCCCTCCCCCAATGCGGGGAGGGAAGCTGTTAAAGCACTATCTATCTATCTATCTATCTATCTATCTATCTATCTATCTATCTA